GAAGCGAAGTTTCTTAACTCAGATCAGTGTTCGTTATCAACATTTTGAACTTGGTTTCAGTATTACGTCTTTTTTCGAAACGAATCGAAACCAAGTAGCTGAAAGTCTGAATGACACTGCATATCTGCTCGCTCAAATTGAATAGGAACATGTTCAGAAAAATGATCTTAACAAAGAATTGAAATACAAGAAAAAAAGTGTTCAAAAAATGACTCGCATTGGGTGACAACAGATAAAAAAGCATCGGTTTCTCGCAGAGTGCTGAACGCATATTCGTCCCAATTGAACAAGATATGCAATCGATGAATTACAAACTCTAGCACATCAAAGCCAAAGAACACTTAGGATAACGAACATTTGAATTGTGTAAAGATTGCTTTTGTAGTTGACTTCGACAGCTATGTAGAATGAGTACAAATGAAAAATAGAAAAACAGCAGGAAGTTATTCACTCACATTTTGTTCATGTTTTTCACCAATCCATAAGAATGTGTATCGAGCTTCGATTCGACATGTAAATTTATATTTGCTTAGACGAGTATTCCGTTCCAACCACTGCTTAGATATTATGTTTTTATATTGCCGATCAATCATGGGTGCTAACTCGATTTTAACATGTGATAATTTCTGGAATCCATCAATCATCCCAATAATGTCTCTTTCATATTGCACTTCCATATGTAATTTCTCCACAGAAGGAAAAAGAAAATTCAAACGTTTGACACCAAGGTTTACAAATGTAGATGACAAGTCCAGTGAACGAATTTGATGAAAAACAGTCGCAGTTTGAATATCAGTGGAAAAACTTTCTAGACCATAGAGGGTAAGATGATAAACTTGAGGCATATGTGGCAAAAGCCATTTGAATTCAGCTAAAGATACTTTCAATCGTTGAACTGAAGCAAAATTAACAATAGATTCAAGGATAGATATTGACACTTTACTCGTATCGATACGTTTTCCCAATTCAAACGTTTCAATATGAGCAAAAGGAACAGGTGGTGGTCGTAAATCGAAAAGAGAACCTTGCCAAAATAGTGTCAAATGTTTTATTTGATCATAGAATAAAGTTGTACGTGGTATCGTTGAATCATCAGGTATAAAATCAGACATAGGATATTCTATGCGATGAATAGCAAATCGAGGTACCGAATAAATAGTTGACTGTCGAATATCATATGCCACAAACCAACATTTGTATTCTAGCCAAAATGGACTACGAAAAGATGTCAATGAATGATCTTCATCGAGTTTAAATCTAAAATTGAATGTGTTAAGTCGAGGTAAAAATGATTCAATCAATGTTTCCCATTGATCTCCGTTCATAGGTATTCTTAAATATCTTGCATCAATTTCGAGATACTTCAGCTGTGGTGTCTTCAATAAGATCTTTTCGATTTGCGGTAGTTCTCGCGGATTATCTATACACACAGCAAAATTGAACACGAACATATTATTTTGGAAAAGAATTCCTATGAAAAAATATTTTTGGATAAGGAAGACTTACTGAAAACATGAATTTTTAGTCGAACCAGTTGCAATGATTCGATCTTCTCGACATCATAAAATTCTCCGAACACATTTTCGATCTTAATCTCTAACGAACGAAGTTCAGTCACTAGATGAACAATTTTGAGAAATTGTTTCGGCGAACAATTCGATATTGTTAAATGTCGCAACGTTGAATATGTTGATATCTTATTGAAAAAATCTTCACTATCGCAGGTAACCAATCGATTAATATGAGGAAGAAGTAGATTCGGAATTTGTATATTAATATGTGGCGTTGTATCAAAATATAATATTGGTATTTGATCGCTTAGTTCACTCAATTGTTCCAATAAAACTGTCCATGATTCTTTGTCAATACGAATTAATGAAATTTGTCGTAAATGAATGAATTGTTCGATACGAAACATTTGAATAAACAATTGTGATTGATTAGTCGTGTCTCGATCATCACAAAGAGTGAGTTGTATAATTTGATGAGCGCGAATTTTTCGACAAATAAGATCAAAATCACATTTGCGAATAGATTGTAAATTGACATGATATCGTTTGTAGCCAAGTAAGACTGAATCCACATAATCACTTATGTCAGCAAATGCAAATAATATTTCATTTGTTAAGAGATAGTCAAATATCGAGTGAAGTAATTCGATAGGAAACTGATCGAGTAGAAACATTGTAATCTAGACTAGAATGAATAAGCCGAACTTTATTGAAAAGAAGATAAATGTGAAGATTCACTGGTGATGATTATTTTGGGTGTTCGAAAAGTTGAAATGGAAAAATGAACGTGATTGAACTCTCGAAGAAAAGGAAAAGGAATGGGCGTAGGCACGTGAATATGGATGTGAGTGTTGATGAACTGAAGAATCATTCTCACACCAACACTCTCGTTCCATACATACGAATCTAAGTAACATATCATTTAAAAAATTCAATTTTGAAGAATATGTTGACTATAAACACTTCTATTACAAAGATGCCTGCTTGCAACAAATTATATAGAACGAAAAGATTTACATGCTTCTCATCAAGTGTATTTGTATGGTGTAGAGAATTTTTAAGCAGAATATTTTTTCGAGTTTGAATGTGAGTAAACAGAACAGTTACAGCTACATCCACAGCCTGTCCATACATCGGTACTTCAGATTACAAAAGAAAATGATCTTTATACTTTTTTAAAAAATCGTGAAGTATTTTATATCGTCTACTCAGATCGTGCATTCGTACAGAATCATCCGTATGATATTTTCACAAACGTCAAAGATAGTCTGTGTACTCTAGTAAAATATAATCATCAAAACTGTTGTAAGCTAATGATCCAGCAGCTCCAATTCTAGTCCATCCTCCTCCAATAATCATGATCAATCTTTCGAATTTCATTTTTGTTTTCTGAGACTGTAAAATAATTATTCACAGAAATTGTGTGATACCGAAACATGAACATTCCTTCTTTTTCGTTATAAAGAGAAAGACATACCTTATTACACATACCTTAATGAAACAGTATAGTTCGACTATACCAAACAAAGCAGTAAACTCAAAATCAGATGCTTCCGCATTCTCTCTTATAGACTTAAGTGCATGATTAGTCTTTCTTCACTGTTGCTTCCTGAAAGGAGCAATGATCTGCTTAACTGTTGCAATGCTACAGAATTCAAGGTCATTTCCTTCTAAGCAGATAGATATCGGTCATTCGACGGTCATTATTGTGAGTAGTGGTAGTCAGTAAAATAAATACAAGTATATGTAGTTCAGTGGTATACCTACTTGTCGTATAGTATTAGAATAGATGAAGTCAAAATAAATAGACGAAGTAGAAAGAATAGCAATAGTTTATTTCATCTGCCATCATGTAGTCGTTGTGCAATAATAAATAACAACATTACATGGTGAGTAATATTCTGAGTCATTGTGTACAAGAGATGATGATGCAGATAATATCATCTTTTCTCATTCTCGAATAGATAAACAACTTTCATTAAGGAGGTAAAAGACGTGTTTGTTTGGTTGTGACATTGTGTAACAACAAAATTATGCATTTATTTCATTTTCCCTTCTTTTTCATAGGTGTCGTACTCAGTAAAATGAATGTAGCAATAAACGAATAATCACAGCAGTGTTGTAGCCAGGCATACGGTTATTGGACAATTGTCCAATGCCAAAAAATCGTGATACACATACGCGTACAAAGATTCAAGTAATGTCATTTTAATACATTGTATCTTGTTGTGATCTAATCTGGTTTTCTAGAAAAATTACCTAACTATTTTTCCATAAAACCGATGCTCACAATGATGGCAATGCAATGGTATTTTTTTTTCGTCAAAATGTTCGTTATTCCACTTAAATTCATCACTGGTACTATTAGTGCTTATTTATGCTCTTTAACCTCATACACTCAAATATTTGAAAGTTGAAGAGTACATTTGTAAAACAGTTCAAAAAAACCTTATCGTCTAATCTCTGCAGGATTAAAAATACAAGGATTTACGGTCGTTGACGAGCATGTTTGCTTGACCTAGCTAATGATGATGACAGTATGTTTCTTTTTTGTTTTGAACATGGTAATACATTGAATAAGGGTTTACTTGGTGCATTAACTATTATTATTTCAATGTTAAATTTGAGCCAAAATTTTATAAGAACAACATTACGTAATAATCTTATAAGTTCTGTCAGCAATAAATAAAAAGTTGACAAAAGCTTAACTATTGCAATGGTTTTATTTTAACATAAAAATTTCTGATGTAGTAAGGTTAATTTCTTTATTAACATGCGGTAGTGCAAAAAAATGTTTCAAACCAGGTTACTCCCATGTGATTCTCTTCTAAGTATTCAATGCAACGTACATATGTATGGTAACTTGTGATGAAACTATAATCCAGCTGAACATCAAACAATTCAATTCTCACAGTTTGTTTATCAAGGAGGAGTTCTGAAATTTTGAATCTAAAGAATTGCATGTCAGCTTGTCATAAAGGAAAATAAAATTAATATTTTGCCAGTGATTTGCTTTTTTTTTTATTGAAATTTGTTAGAAACCGAAAACTTCATTCTATAATATTGAATTAGTTTACTAGATATAGGAGAAATATAACTTCTATATTTTTATTGTTTTTTTTATCGCAATTATCAAAGGTACAATGCACTTATAGATAAGATAGTCGATGCATATTTTGACGTGCATTTGAACTCCTAGATTATGATATTTACTCGATTTCAGTTTACAATTTGTACTTTTGTGTAAAAAATGGTCTGCAAAAGAAAATGTTGAACTCATCAATTATAAACTAATTATTTCCTTCATTTGTAATGCGACCAATGACACCTACATGAATGATATTTCAGAATAAATTACAACAAATTCATAAAAAATATCGATTCATTTGGTTTACAAAAAAAAAATATTATTTAACTAATAACATAAAATTGAATGGAAATTTTTTTTTCTTCACTTTTTTGGAATAATATTTAATGTTCGTATACCATTTATAATTGGTTGTCTATTTTTTCACCTATATTTCTTGATATATCATAAGATAATTCAGCAATTTTCCTTTTTAACTCGCTTTCATCAGTACATGTCTTAATTTTGTGAAGATATTTTTCTAAAATATATATTTCTGACCGACAATCATAACAATTATCGAGTCCTTCAATTTCCACAGTATCCAAAGCATGTGTATAATACATAGTTCTCGTTATATTCTGAAAATTATTCATAGCTCTTTCAAAATCTCCATGATCATATGTTTTCATTTGTGCATTTTTTTCAACGATTAAACGACACTCCATACTTTTTCTTGATGTCCATGTGTCTAATAACAAATGACCTTCGAAAAATAAAGTTGTACCTGGTGCATTTGGTAGACGAAATGTTAATAAAGAAGCATGAGGATCTATTGTTGAACACCATATTATTTGATTAGAAATATCTATATGTATATCTTCTTTGAGATTATCATGATTGCTGAAAGTATGAATATCACATATAAATAAAATACTTTTATTTTCTTTTGAAAATGTTTTTGCTAAATCTTCTGTAAAACATTCGGATTGAATTTTAATTTTATCACTTTTAAATGCAACAAATGGTTGTATATCAATGAGAACAAATTCAAGTGTAGGGAATAATGAGCTTAAATAATCTAAATGTGCTCCGGGTGCAGCACCAACATACACAACCAAACAGTTATCGTCTGTAGCATAACTTGTTAAAAATTCTATTTCTGATAAGAGTAATTTTCGTTGTCCCCAATATTCGGTTGTATTTAATTCTCCTACATTCGATTTCTTAGTATTAAATTCATTAGAAGATAAATCAAGTAAACGATTTTTATCGGTAAATTCTTCATTATAAATTAAAAGTTTTTCACCATTAATAAAAACTTCTCTTAGATGTGGATTTTGATCGTATAAACGTTGATCATTATTATTTAATTTTAAACTAGATACATCAAAATTTTGTTCATGATTTAATCGTTTTATTAATTGTTTTTCATCACTATATAATTTTGATCGATCAATATAGGAAATAATTATTGGCAATTTATTCTTCTGTATAATAGATCTTTCAAATGTACCACGATTTCGATCGCTTGTATTGGATTCATTTGTTGTATTTCTTGAAAATATAAAATATATTATTTTATAAAAATATATCAATCACAAGATAACTTACTTTCGTGCTGTCAATAATGGTCGAAACATTTTCATAAGCTCAATCGACCATTCAATATCATCCATTGCTCTATGGGTGACTTCACATTTGCCATTAGCTGCTATTTCTCTTACAAATCGGGATGCTGTCGATGGTGCCCATCTTTTCATCATTTCACGAAATGAACTAACATCAATAACACGATAATGTAAATAATTGTAAACAGTAGGCATTTGTATTTTCATAACTTCTCGATCGATATGAATTGAACTACCAGCTAGAGGACATGCTTTTTCTGGACAATGTCGTTTGATTAAATCTAATAATTCTTGTTCCATTTGTTCTTTTGTTATGTTTGAAGTAATAACATCAGTAAATAATCCATTTCCACCATCATTATGATCTTTAAATGCATTTTGATGCCACTCACCGAGTCCATCAAGAATTTCTTTCTCAAAATGAACTACCCATGCCTCTAGAATATTCACAAAAAAAAAAATTTCTATTAATCTTTCAATCGATTCTGAAGAGAAAATATATTGAATATATTAGAAATTTTCATCAATATGAAAAATAGAAATATTTTGAGTCAGTATAAGTAGTAATGATTGAATAGAACTGATGAAGTTTGCACAGGCTTGCGAGTTTGATGGAAGTTAGCCCGATATTTCACTCATGAAGATAATACTAAACATGGAAAACAATTAATCAAACTTGATTTTATTGTCTCCAATAGCACCACATGTTTACAAAATCCATTAGAATTGAATCAATCATTTTTTTATTTTAACCCTTTGGCTATTACCGATGCATATATATGCATCATGGACTTTATCAGTGTCCGAATCTAACGCAATCAATCGTAGTACCAATTTTTAAGATTTACTTGCATAGAAATAGGGCATCTGACAGCTGAAACTTGTAATATTATCATTTCATAATGATATGTTCTAGAATTGCATCTTAAAAAAAGAACTATGTATGGACTCTAAGAGATCACATGTAGGTGGACCATCGAGTCAAGAAATTCCCTTTTCTAATGCCTTCGAATGAAAGCAGCCACACTTCGCAAAAAAAGATGTTATTTTTGCAGCATCACTGAATGATGTGTGAAAGCACAAGGAAAAAATGCGCTACAGTATACTGAATGCGATGCCAAGTTGTGTATTACCGACTTCTTTTAAAGACTTTCATATCTTACAGAAGATTTAATGTTATCACGTAGAAATCTGTAAAATTGAATTAAAAATGAATAGGTACAATAAATTTTTAAAGAGACCTTTTCTCTTTCTCTTATACCGGTAGCCAAAGAGTTACACTATATAGGTTGGAAGGTTCTACTTTCTCCTCTAAAGTTTGTTCATTATTGATCTTTATTGAGTATGTCGAATAACATATCCGATGTCTATTTATAATAGAATTTGACATCATTCGAATTTTTCTTTAATTCGATGGATTCGATTAAAATGTTGATACTCAATGAAAAACATATCTAATTTCACGTCTTATCTGTTACGCAGCAATATATAATAACTTACTTCTTTCTAATTCATTAAGATCTTTGTCTGTAATAATAACAGCACATTCTAAAACTTCTGGATTATCAAATGATGTAAATTCTAAATCTATCCAAACAATATTCATCATTTTATCTTTTTGTTTTTTCATAGCATATTGATCATATGTGTTTGTAGATGTTTTATCATCTCCAAGTTCTAATAAAAGATTACACATTTTCCAATCTTGTAGAGAATGAGCTAGTTCAAAAGGAGTCATTTTATCTGTTTCTCGTGTAATTGATACGTTTAAATTAAATTTCGGAACAATATATCGAATAATATCTAAACATTGTCTACAAACAAGTTCATGTAATAATGTATTTTTGGTACCATCAGACATATTTCTCCATGCTTCAATCTGAATAACACCATATCGTTTGATAAGATTATCAAGTCGTTCAGTAAGGCTTGATTCTAAATGTCTTTCATTTAAAAGTTTTGCTAATTCTTTATTCAGTTTTTGCATTGACATTATGTAGTTGCACGACTATATATATGAAGTATAAAAATGCGACTTACAGTCACATTTTATGTACGCCTATGAAGAAAAATAAGAGAACTGAGAAGAAAAAAAAAAATCAAACGAATGAAAAAAAAAACACCTCACTTATAACACCATGTTTGCTTGTTGGGAGAAAGGAAAAAAAGGAAGAAAAACAGACAAACAACAAATTTTGGTAAGCAAATGAGTGGAAAAAAAGAGATTCAACTAACAGCTGAAAATGAAATAAGTAATATAATGAAGTTTATCATATTTTTTTAAATTCAAAATAAAAAATTTATACGACAAGCTATCGACTTTTTCTATTCTTACCAAAAGGGAACAAACTGATTTCGACAGCGGAAATCAATTTGAAATCCTTCAAAATCACCGGAAAACACACGGAATATGAATACCCTGAATAGAGTTTGGATCAATAGGTTATTGGTGTCCAAATACTGCATTTTTACAGTATTTTTAATAGAGGGTCATGTTCCCTATCAGAAACACAAGAAAAATGATTTCCGAAATTTGACTTGAAACTTTGCACAAAGATAGACCTTAACAAGAATAGTTTATTGTGAAAATCTCACATCTTTTATTTTGCTCCTTTTTTGAAATATCAACATCGAATCAGTCCATGTATGTAAAACCTATTTTTGTTAAAGCATATCTCTGTACAAAGCTTCCAGTTGACATTCGAAAAACAGTTTTCCTGGGGGGACTCTTTTCAAAGTATGCATAACTCGTTAGGAATTACTTGATGCACACATTTAGCCTCGATTCAAAAGCGATTTATCAGTTGAATGTCTTCCCTCGTTAATCAAACCTCAATATGAACAAAACTTTTTTTGAGTTTTTACTAGAATTCTATACAATATCTATAGTTTAAAGATCATTAAAATAAGAAGGTAGCAGCTAAGAAGGTTCCTTCATGATAAAAATATGAGATCTAATTAGTATAACCATTTCAATGAAGTTTGTTTATCTTTAAATAGCTTTACTTGACTTTTTTATAACCTATGGCGCGAAAGTCTTGGTACAAAATGTTTGCTTAGTTTTCTACCCCTGAGCCTTGATTAGAGAGGATGAAAATCAGTCCGTTAGAATCAGAATTTCACGCTCTTTCTAAATATATGTTCAGAATTATTTTCTAACTAAAGGCAAATGAACTGTGAGCACATAATTGAATAGGCCAACAAGAGGCGCCTGTACACAGTTTTTCATCCCACCACCAGATTTTTGTATTTTGATTAAAACTGTCTCAATTCAAATGATAAAAAATTGTTTTATATATCAGTTTTTAGAGCAAAGCATGCTCTACAAAGCGTTTAGTTTACTCCTTTTTTTTTAATATGATAACGATAGCTCAAAACTTTCTTATATTCTAGAAAACAACATTAAAAAAA